ATCTCAATTTCAAGAAATTGACCCTTATGACTGGTTTTGTGGTCCAGGGCATGTCACTGACCTCCAGCTTGTGCGGTTTCTCATCGCTCTGTCTGCGTCTCCTGTTGTTGGACAGCATCCGGTAGAGCTGTAACTGTTTCCTATATCGGCGGGTGCGGAGCATGTGGACCGGCCGCGTGCGGAGGCTGCGGTGGGACTTTAGGGAGGTGCTGGAGGGTGATGGAGAGGAGTCTGTCCCGGAGCTGCACAGCTGCAGGTCTCTGACGGAGCGAGTCATCGGCTTCGGACTATTCGAGTCTTCACACCGATTACGAAGCATCTCCACTCGCTTCAGCCGCTCTCGGAAGCTTCTGGGCTTCGGCTTCAAAGATCCCGTGAAGCTCAGTATGGGAATCGGCATCTTCCAGATGCGTATGGCTCTCCTGAGCAGTTTGTGAGAGCGGGTGTTTAAGTAGATGGCGGGATGGGCCGCGCCGATGCTCTTGTTTCGGCGGCGGGTTTGTGGAGCAGACTCCTGCTCCGGTTCATTAGCAGCTGATGATTGAACATCAGAGGAGCTCATGGATGAGGATGGAGCTTCTGCAGCACCGGACAACATTGCTGGACAAAAAGAAACATCTCTTAACCTCTAATGCAATACTCATTCACATATCAATGACCTGTATACAAGTTACAAACAGTCCCTGTACCTGTCTTATTGAAGAATCATTGATATGTGTCCCTGCAGCACAAAAGCAGTGTTAAGTCGCTGGGGTATATTTGTAGCAATAGCCAACAATACATTGTATGGGTCAAAATTATAGATTTTTCTTTTATGCCAAAAATCATTAGGATATTAAGTAAAGATCATGTTCCATGAAGATATTTTGTAAATTTCCTACCGTAAATATATCAAAACTTAATTTTTGATTAGTAATATGCATTGCTAAGAACTTCATTTGAACAACTTTAAAGATTTTAAAGATTTTTTTGCACCCTCAGATTCCAGATTTTCAAATAGTTGTATCTCAGCCAAATACTGTCATATCCTAACAAACCATACATCAATGGAAAGCTTATTTATTCATCTTTCAGATGATGTATACATCTCAATTTCGGAAAAATTGACCCTTATCACTGGTTTTGCGCTCCAGTGTCACATAAATGTTCCAGTATAACGTTTCTGTGAATTGCTGCAGTTGAAATTCACATGGACGGTTCCTGAATCAGAAAAAAATACATTTATAACTCAAAAATAAACTGGATTATCGACTATGGACTATATCAACTGCGACCACAACGATTCAAAACCGACAAAACTATAACAGCGAGGCCCAATGTAACCAACGGAACATTCTTCTTCTTCTCAGTTCGCTACTCAACAACACAACCGTCAAAATAGTACGCCAAGCTGAAATAAAACGCGAACAAACAAGTATGCTTGTCTAAGGCAGCACCTCAGACTGATACAACACAGCCTGTGGCCAAACTTTGCAGCATAATTGAGTTTGGTCTGAAAGCACTGGAGAACGATACAGAATCATCGTATTGGGTTAGGCCAGATCATATTATTCAGACTTAAAGCAAGGGCCTTAACAGCATGACGTTCCTCGTGCTATTTATTGTAGGGAATAAGGTTTAATGATTGTTCTTGAGAAAGTTACCAAATGTACTCTGACGTATTGTCACTGTTGCCGTACCTGTACTGTATATTGCAAAGGAAGCCCTACAGTTCAGGCATCACAAATTGTACAGCACACACATAGAGACATACCAGAGGGATATACACACACACACACAAACATGTTGCACACACATGCTCACACAAACACATACAGAAATGTGCTTGATCCCTAGACAGCACTAAAAAGCTTTGCACAAAGACCCTCTTGTAGAAACTAACTTGTTCTAAAACACATGTATCATATATTTAGGCATACACTACGATTCTTTTTTTGTGGTTTTATGGTTTTGATGTTTTTTTGTTTGTTTTGCTTTTTTTTTAGTTTGGTGTGAATGCGAAGAAAACCGAGCATTTGCTTTAATGAATTAACTGCATTGGGATAGTGTTGGGATGGGGATGGAAGTGGTGTAAGCGGTACATCATTAGGATCTTACCAGGGATACGCTCACAATGGTTTAAATATAAATAAAGAAGAACAAAAAAAATGCGTGCATAAAAAGCACAAAGTAAATACAATAGCAAGTGATGATAACAAAGCCAAGAAAAATGTAATCATCTAATCAAAAAAAGGAACAAAACTACTCAAACACAAGTGAACTATAGAACCAAATATTTGATAAAAAAAAGATTATCTCTAAAAACTAGAACATCTCTGGTAACAGTAGTGCACTTATTGGTTTAAGCAGTGCAACATATATGCAAGAAAACAATGCAGTCCTCTTATCAAGCTTCTAAGAAAAGATATTTCCTTTATAAACAATGCAAAAAAAAAAGAAAAAGAAAATCATAGAATTTAATTTCTTAAGTAAAACAATTCGATGCTTAAGCACAGGATTTTGAAGTAAATGTGCAAAGTAGCACTGTTTTTCAAACCTACAACTTACGCGACCAAATTCCAAAAAGGAAAAAGTCTACATAAACTGTCATCGTTTTAACTACACTTCGAAGGTGTATCTTCTCAGATAAGTGAGCAAAGTTGTCAGATTGCAGTTGCACGGCAGATGAGTCTTTTTATATCGATAAAATACGTGTATGACAAAGCCAAATATGAACACAGAGCTTCTGAGTGACGTAAAACACCAAAAATACAACCTTTTCAACTCACTTCCGAAATGCACACACGATGTCTAGATATGGGTAAAATTGGGAATGTTTCTTATTGTTTGGAGAGTTTTCTCCCTGTGGTATATTAAAGAAGAACGACCGTGTTGATTTTATTGTGGTTCAGTAGATGTTTTTTTTTCTTCTGTTGCCTTGTGTCCGTATATCCTTCGCCTGCTCTCTCGCCCTGTCTGTATATCCCATCAGGCAAAAAACAAGGACGGCTGTTTGAGCCACTAGGTGGCGCTTTAGGAACAGGAGTAGTGCATTTTAGTCACCCCACCGGCCCAAACAACTCAGTCGTAGTAGTCGCCGCTAACAGGGAATACATCACTTTTATGTATTTAGGAGGTTATTTCTGTCCAGTTCACTTTGATCTAATCTAGCCCATAGCTCCAAATAGCTTAACGTTTAACGAAATAATAATAATTAGAGAAACATCCACACATAGTGTTGGATTCTACGGCTGATAACAGTCTCAAAGTGAGCACGTGAGGAGCAGCAATTAACTTGGATCTCGGGCCTGTTTGCATACTAAAATCTGCCATTTTCCTTTTCCTTTTCTTTTTTTCAAAAATAAAAAAGAGAACCATGGAGCAAATGAAAAGATTAAATCAGTTTCTCGAAACTTTGTATCACACTTCGTCGTTTTGAAGCGGAAGAGGTCAACTAACAGTCGTCTTCTTAAGTGGCAGTGTATGCAAAACGAATTGGAAATTACTAACGGCATTCAAAGGTTTTGCTCGAATACTGTCATGTATATATATATATATATATATATATATATATAATTTTTTTTGTAAACATCAACATCATAATCCCTCAATGTCATAATAATAAATAAAAACCCAGTGTCAAATCGGAACAACTCTCCTATTCTTACCGCACGTAAAAAGGCAAACATGTGACCAACGTTATTTTAGGATGAATCTAGAGCCAAATCTTTTTTTTTCTCTCATTTTTTATTTTTTTTTAATCTATACCACAGTAAGCTTGGACGCTTATAATGTCCAATACGGTCTACATGGGAAAAGATCTACAAGTATAAAAAAAATTCACTGCAATATTAATTTTTGTGCGCACGCTCACATGCACAAATACACATACGTACAAAATACCTCCACCATATATAAGTGTGTATAAGTAGTTTGTGCGTGTGAGTGCATGCATGTGTATTTGTGTTCGTGTGTATGTGTGTGCGCGCATGTGAATTTTTTTTTTTCTTGTGTGTTCTTTCGCAGGCCTTTCGGTAGTGTTCAACACATAAATCAGTATTTAAGGAAAGCATACATTTAGAGGCCAGTAGTATGGATCCAGCCAGTGGATCATCATCCAACTACACAGCCTTAAGGCCACCATCTTTTTTATTCTTTAAGAATAGCAAGGACAAAAAAAAAAGAAAGAAAAGAAATTAAACGCTTCTTTTTTTTCTAGAAAACTTAATGTGCCAGTGTCTATACTCATTACTCTTCATGCCCCAATATAAGAAAAAAAAAAAAAATCTAGTGCCGTTTTCTGTATCATTTCATTCTCTTTCATGTTTTTTATTTATTTGTACTTATCCGTCGGAGACATGCTTGCGCATGTGGTCACCCCACCTGCTCCCACCGGCATGGCGAGAGCCACCACTCCTGCTCCCGGCTCGGGAACAGCCATCGGAACCGGGATGGATGCGGGGCCTCCGGCGCTCCCTGCGGCACTGACCCCGGAGACCCCGGAGACCCCGGTCTCTGTGTTGTGCAGGGCCATGTGGCGCTCCAGCAGGGTCTTGTGGGAGAACTTCTTCTTGCAGACGTAGCACTCGTAGGACTTCTCTCCACGGTGCAGGCGCATGTGGACGTTGAGCGAGCTCTTCTGGGTGAAGCGTTTGTTGCAGATGCTGCACTGGTATGCTCGGATGCCTGTGTGTGTAACCATGTGTTTGATGAGATAATCCTTCAGCGAGAACGAACGCCAGCAGATACTGCACTGGTGTGGCTTTTCACCTGAAAGAGCACAGAGCACAAACTCATGAGGAAGGAACATTTCACCAAAGCCTCTTGCATAAACCACTGTCCTATCACATGATCATTTTGATCATGCAATCGTAGATCCAGACAGGTTCTTCTTCTCCTTTTTGTGGCTGCATGGTGAAAAGTTACCATATTTTGCATGCAGGTAATTATGAAATGGACTATAGTTGCAATGCGACAGCTACAGACCTGAAATCTGACACATATATGTTCCTCTTTATTAAGAACAAATATGTGACCCTGGAGCACAAAAGCATTGTTAAGTCGCTGGGGTATATTTGTAGCAATAGCCAACAATACATTGTATGGGTCAAAATTATACATTTTTCTTTTATGCCAAAAATCATTAAGATATTAAGTAAAGATATTTTGTAAATTTCCTACCGTAAATATATCAAAACTTAATTTTTGATTAGTAATATGCATTGCTAAGAACTTCATTTGGACAACTTTAAAGATGATTTTCTCAATATTTAGATTTTTTTGCACCCTCAGATTCCAGATTTTCAAATAGTTGTATCTCAGCGAGATATTGTTATATCCTAACAAACCATACATCAATGGAAAGCTTATTTATTCAGCTTTCAGATGATGCATAAATCTCAATTTCAAAAAATTGAGCAACCCTTATGACTGGTTTTGTGGTCCAGGGTCACATATGCCTCTTGATCGTATAATGTCTATGTTTTGGTTTTTGATATCACCTTTCAAAAAATACAAAATTTGACATGCGATTCTCTGTGCATATCATTCTAAATTGTAAAATAATAATAATAACAATAATAATAAAAAAGACAGATTTTAAAAAGATTGTTCCTGTAATTCTTGCTTTCAACTGTAACTTTTGCTGGAAAAGTTGAACTTTGCATGCAGGTTACTAACTACTTTCTAAATGTATTAATTTTAATTATGGAATTAATTAGTGCTGTGGTTGCCTAGCAACAGTAATGTAAAACTTTGAAATCTAAAAAGGCCAGCACAGCCAACACGCTTAAGCTACACTGAAATTCCATAGACATTCCTTCTCATCCAAAACACATAAAAAAAAAAAAGCTAAAGTTACATTAAAGGTTTGTAGTCAATTATCATTATTACAATCAGGAATGACATGTAAAGCTTGTCAGGCAGTAATTTCTACTGAAAATTGATTTGATTCGATACAGAGAAGTAATTAGAAATAACTGCAACTGTTTTATTCTGTGTGAGGTCTGCAGGAACTGGTGCAAGTCTGTACCATACATTTACAGAGCATACAAAAGACGTTAGTGGAAAACAAGAAAAGTCCATTTTAAAAAAAATTAGTAGAAAAAAAAGAGAGAACTATGGTAGAAAAGTACAAATCACAAGAAAGTAAATGTATTTTGGTGTAAAAGTTCCTTTTTGAAATGAGCAAATCCTGTGCCAATTTCACCCCAAAAAAATGTTATCTCAGTAAATTGTACATATAAAGTGAAATATAATCTTGTGAAAAATATTGGAAACTCTGCAATATAAATCATTCCATTCGAAGGCCATACCTGGCCAGTTATTTACATATTTATGTTTTTGGCAGCTTCAATCTTCTAGGTCATAGGCAATAACATCTGCTGTGCTGTTATTGTCAAATATCTTTTGTCATATTCTGCATGATAAAAGCTCCTGTGACTCAGTTATGGCAGCATGTTTGAAGACATACCAAGCATCAAAGTCCGATAATAAACATATAAGAATACACAGACTTGGTTTTGGCCTGAAGACAGACCATCATTGCATAGTAATCTACTTCAGGAGATCACAGAGTCAAATTTAATTATCTTACTAAACTTAACGTTGCCATAGTTGAATGCTCTTTTGAAGGCAGGATATATTTACTGTGCACTTCAAGGGTTCAGAATATGCCCTGCTAATAAATAGTTTGTCAGTCTCCTGAAGAGATAACTCCAAAACAGTAAGACTACTGTAGAATCTCATTTAGGCTTCTAACAAGTGGACATGCCAAAGCCAGGTTGCTCAAGGATGTGCTTAAAAAGCACCTTCCTAAAATGTCAATGATTCTGTGGCATGTCAAAAAAATAAAAAATAGTGCAGACTTTTATATAAAACAAGTTCAGACCTGCTTATATGCATTGACAAATCTGGAACTAGCATGCATTCGGCAAACAGCTTGAGTACATTCAGTGCACAGATAAGCCTAAAGGAAAGGTTTAGTTGCTTTCATATCTCAAAGCCCAATAACTGAAGAATCATATCGATAATTTTGAGGTCCTGATGGATACTTGTCACACTGTTGAAATGGACTGGGTTGCTTATAATATAATACCTAATCCACAGAGGACAGCCAACAAGGATCATTCACAATAAGTGCTGTCAAACGATTAATCGTGATTAATTGCATCCAAAAAAAACAGTTTTTGTTTACATAATATATGTGTGTGTGTACTGTGTATATTTATTATGTATATATAAATACAAAAACATACATGTATATATTTAAGAAAAATATGTTTTGTATATATAAAAATATTAATATTTATATATAATATAAATTATATTTGAATATATATATATATATATATAGCAGCCTTGATGAGCAGAAGAGACTTCTTTAAAAAAAACATTACAGGTCTTACTGATCCCAAACTTTTGACCGTTAGTGTATACATAATAAATATACACAGTACACACACACACACATATATTATGTAAACAAAAACTTTTATTTTGGATGCGATTAATCACGATTAATCGTTTGACAGCACTAAGTATTACCAATTATTCACCCTGAATCGAAAGTGTTTCAGACCAGCTTATGGATATAACTGGATACAACGTTAAAGGGATAGTTCACCCAAAAATGAAAATTTGATGTTTATCTGCTTACCCCAAGGGCATCCAAGATGCAGGTGACTCTGTTTCTTCAGTAGAACACAAACGAAGATTTTTAACTCAAACCATTGCAGTCTATCAGTCATATAATGGAAGTGGATGGGAATCACGGCTTTGAGAGTAATCACGGCTTTGAGAGTAAAAAAAAAACATACACAAACAAAACCAAATTAAACCCTGCGGCTCATGACGATACATTGTAGATAGAGTTAGTTTCGTGTCTTTACACATCAATCTCAATTAGGAGTGTCAATGGTCCGTTTGAGAGATAGGTGGTGGTAATGCACTTATAAGTCTGCGATCCGCCGTAAAGCAAGAAGAAGAAGAAGATGCGTCACGCGCCGGCTGTCGAGGACGTGCTCAGGATGGTTCAGACATTGCAGTGCATCAGAGGTATAAAACGATATAAATACTGTTCAGTTTCTAGCACAGACCGATCGTTTTGTGTCTTTACACATCAATGTATCGTCATGAGCCACAGGGTTTAATTTGGTTTTGTTTGTGCATGTTTTTTTTACTCTCAAAGCCGTGATTCCTATTCACCTCCATTATATGACTGACAGACTGCAACGGTTTGAGTTAAAAATCTTCGTTTGTGTTCTACTGAAGAAACAAAGTCACCTACATCTTGGATGCCCTGGGGGTAAGCAGATAAACATCACATTTTCATTTTTGGGGGGAACTATCCCTTTAACTAGCTAACAATACGGAGATGAAGGCCAAGGGAACTCACCTGTGTGCACAAACATGTGTTTCACAAAGTTTTGTTTGGCAGTGAAGGTCTTGGAACAAAGAGTGCATGCGTAGGGCTTCTTCTCCCCATGCTGTCCCACGGTAGCATTACTTTGCTGTTGACTTCCAGCCGGTGGCACGGTCAGTCCGCTGGGGAACGGAGAGGGCACTGCCACAAATTGGGGCTGCTGACTTCCAATGGACTGGGGCAGGCTGAAGAGGAAAGGCTTGTTGTCGCTGGCTGACTGGGTTGCAAAGAGTGTAGGCAAGTACGTGTTGCCTGCGGTTCCCATTACCTGGGTGTTGCTGGTTAGGGTGAGGGGCATACGCAGGTTGCTGGTAAGTGGCTCACCTGGCCGCAGGTACGGCCCAGCAGGCATCGACTGGGGTGCTTGTGGCGGCTGATAGATTCCAAGCTCGCCACACTCTTGAGAAGGACCGTTTCCATTCCCGTCTTCAACCGACTCTTGGGTCTGCTCGGGGGATGAATCGTTGACCTCGATCTGCACAGGGGTTCCCCGCTCACCTTGCTGGCCTTTGTTTGGACAGTTGTCTCGAGCGAACCCAGACAAGAAAGGCTGCTCGACAGAATCCGTTTCCGTGCCGATGGAAGAGCTGACGCCGGAGTCGAAGCTCTCGCCCTTGGGCTCGCACTCCAGCTGTTCGCTGTCCTCACGGCAGTCCTCCAGCCCGTAGCAGGTGTACTCGTCCCCTTGCTCCTGCTTGATGTGAATATCACCCGTGTGGAGCCTCACGGGACGAGGCTGTTTACGGCAGTGTGTAGTCTCTGTCGTGACTAGGAAGCGCTCCATCTGTTGCGAGCGCTCGTGGATGCGTGTGATCCAGGCAGGGTCCTGCCCTCCCTCCTTCTGCTGTAATGGAAGGGGTGAGTCGTAGCCGGCTGTCACCACGGCGCTGGCATAGTGGGAGCGATTTCCACGGGTCCCGTTTTGCAGGCCCAACCCAGAGCAGCTGGAATACAGCGAGGAGTAAACACGGTCAAGGCTCTGGTGAGATGTTTGCATGTAGCCTGATTCGGCATCACTACTAGGACCGGAGGTGCCAGACTCAGGAGTTCCCCGAGGCGTCTCCTGCCCCGAGTCGCCAGGGACGACGGAAAAGCTGCCAGATCCAGCGAAGCCAACATTCTGCGAAACAATGCGGGTGCACTCGTCGATAACGGTCTTGATCTGTAGTATGCTGGCAGCTGTGAGGATCTGCAGCGCCTCGGACTGGGAGACCCGCAGCACGCCGCTGTACATGAAGTCAATCAGTTTCTGGACGGACTGCACAGAAACCACAGAGGGGATCTCGATGTCACTGTAGCCCAAGAGCAGCTTGTCCTGAAAGAAGGGGCTGCCTGCAGCCAGCACACAGCGGTGAGCTCGCAGCATGCTACCGTGGATCCGAACCGTCACGTCACAGAAGTGCCCGCGGTTTCGCTGCTCATTGAGGGTCTCAAGTACAGAATTGCTAAAGTTGTGGAGATTAATGTGGTGAATGCGTTCGGTCATCCCCTTGCACCTGATGTCACCTGAGACACAAACACAAACAGAAAAAGTCATGCACATGATTTATGCATTTTCTGAAACATTTCAGTATAATGTCGACCATAAATAAAAGCTTTTAACAAATACTGTAAGCTACACTTGCTACACATTCTCACTCTCAACTCGTCACATACTGACGCTTGGTCACGGCCCTCTGGCGTAACTTTTTAACGCACAGCGACATGCAGGGCACTCCATTGCTTTGCATAAGAAACCCTTTGCGTCAACATGCAGATGGGAAGGGAATGGGAATATTATCGTCATGATTAATTTATATATTGGGTAATAATTTTGCCACTATTACATGTATGCTGGGGTGTGATTTTCAATTTAAACAGTCACAAGAGTTTTATTTACATTACATTACACTATTTACACATTTTTGAGCACGTAACAGTACTCCTACCCCTAAACCTAAACATTTGTCATTATAAAACACAGGATATAAAAGGCAGAAGAAGCGTTACGTCAGCTTTGGTTGTGAAATGCCATTGGCTCTTGTGTGTCTTGTGACCGATTGTGTCATGCTAAAGTTCTGGAGTATCTTTTGACTGAACTATGACCCTGTTAACGGACCATGTTATCATTTTCATCGATTAAAACCTTACGTTTTACTCTGTTCTTCATATAAAGATATGGTATGGCTTCAGAAGACTCGGAATGCAACCGAGTTTGTTTGTAATATATTTATACTGCTTTTGGGGTCAGTTTTTGAAATAAATACGTGTGGCTGTTACGTGTTTTATATTGATGAGAAGTGGACGGGTTAAGGATAGGGGTGAGGTTAGGTGCTCCAAAAAAAAAATCTATGAACGTATAAATGTATATAAAATGATTTCTATTTTCACAAATGCATGCAAAGAATTAAATGTCGCTTTTTAACATTCCTGGATCTCATCAGTATATACATTCCCTATATTTTTCTTCAAGTATGTTAATTCACTAGGATTCAAAACCAGCGTTGGGGGTAACGCATTACAAGTAAGGCGAGTTACGTAATCAGATTACTTTTTTCAAGTAACTAGTAAAGTAACAGATTACTTTTTAATTTACAAGAGAATATCTGAGTTACTTTTTCAAATAAGTAACGCAAGTTACTTTTTTCCCCCCAATTTATTGATTGACAGCTCTCCTGTCCCCATGTCGAGAGAAATCAGAAGATGTTACTGTAGTTCTAAAATAAATATGAATATGCATTAATTCATCTCACTCACAAAAAAAAACAAAAAAACACAGATTCAGTATTCCTCAAAATAAATAAAAATAATGAAACTCAGAACATGACGCAAACCTGCAATAATTAAATGTTAAACAACACAAATATCCTAAACATACCATCAGAAAATCTATTTAATATAATGATTTAAGAAAACACAAAGCCATAGAAATACTAGATTGCATAATAGATATGATATAATAGACAACAGAAAGAGTTGCCACAAATATATGAGAATTATAATATTTTCTTCCTCAAAAATCAAGAAGTGTAGGCTGTTAAATATGTAGATAATAGATTGCCACTGCTTTAGGCATGCACATTAATTACCTTGTGTGTTTATAGGCTGAGTATGACCAATAAATAAACCATAACCACAGGCATATGCTTCAGTCTTGCATTATCTTATGGAATGTGTTCAATGACATTTCCTGTAGAATGTGTGTTCATTTTCTGTCTCCCCCTTATGGACTAAATGGTCACGGGATGTTGTTTGCCAGAATGTAGCCAAGAGCAGAGTATCACTGTGACATTCTGAGAATAGACTGTGTCCTGCTAAAGTGTTTCAGAAATTGTAAGAATGTATTTAACTGTACACCCCTGTAATATATACCATCCTGCAGCAATAGTAAGAGAAGTGCGGTAGTTTATTTACATGTGATTACTTAATGTTTGATTACTTTTTTTGTGGGAGCTAAACTCTGCAGGTTCTGGAACAGGAATGGAAACCTCTTATACAGCATAGTATACGTTTTGGGTAATAATACACAATACCCAGAAGTGTTTGTCAAAATGAGCAGTAACAAAGCTAACCACATACAATTATTCATCCCACACATATGGATTTCTAACGCAAAATTTTCAAGATTAAGTAACTGGAGGCCACTTTCTAATGCAATGAGGTCATCTGACAAATATAGCGAGGTCATGTGATGACCAAGTACAGTAGCATACTACTGTTCCAAAACATTTATTGAGGAATAACGTGTACTGTTTCACCTACTCTTTTTAAAAATCAGTATAGAGTGTATAGTGTGCAGTACTCAGTAAGTAGTAGGCCTAAGCTAGTATTCTATTCCAAACATTCCAAAAAACACTGCCAGAATACTGTATCCTCCATCAGGAAGAATGAAATGGAAGTAACAAAAACTGTAACATTTAACCGTGATCTCCCCATCTTGAGTCTATTTCATCAGACAGACAAAACTGACATCAATGTGGCACAGCCTACTACTCTCTGTAATAGCTGCATAATATATACTTTCACATACTCTTTTTTTAAAAACAGTAGGCCACTTACTGTATCTAGTAAGCCAATAATGTCTTAACTGTCTACTACAGCCAGTCCGCTCCACAACCGCCAAAACATTTACTTTATGGGTAATATGTTTACTGTCTGTCTCTATATTCTGTAACTATATATAACTCTAACTATATGAGGCATCGATTTAGAACGGAGCACGTAATGGTCTTTGAGAATATCACTGTGTCTCTATGGATTTGAAGAGCAGACATCTCTTGTTTAAAATGTTTAAAAGAATCTAGAGAACCGTAATTATATTATATATACACTCTAAAAAATGCTAGGTTGTTTCAACCCAATTTTGGGTCAAATATGGACTAACCCAACTGTTGGGTTAAATTTTGGTTACATTTTTAAATTAACTTTTTAACCCAACAGGTGGGTTAGTCCATATTTGACCCAAAATTGGGTTGAAACAACCTAGCATTTTTTAGAGTGTATACACACACGCACACACACACACACACACACACACACACACAAATAACCCTCTAACGCTAATGCATAAAATTACAATTTAAGGTTACACTTTATTTTAAGGTGTCCTTGTTACAGTGTAATTATACAGTATATTTAAGTACTGACTAATATTAATTAACTACATGTACTTACTATATGGTTAGGATTAGGGTTTGGCTTAGGGTTACTTGCATGTAATTATGCATAATTAATTGTTATTATAATAGTAAGTACATGTAACATGTGTAACAAGGACACCTTAAAATAAAGTGTTCCCCAATTCAAATATACTGTTACACTGCAAACCCATTTAAAGGAAGTAATGAATGCAAATGAAAGCAAGTGGTGCCCGCTTAATGCATTTAATACACACCATGCCCTACATAATATACATTATAACCTAAAATGTTGAAAAGGTAAATTTTTCAACTATCCATATATTTAAGGTTTAAAAACAGAAAAGAAGAATTTTAGGATTGAAAACACTTAAGATCAGCATTTACACTTACAATATCTAGATCTATATAAATCTAGTTCAGGGCACTGTGCATTAGATATACAGCTACACTTTTTTTTTTTTTTACATGTCATGAGATGATATTAAATTATAAATATGTACTGTAGCGTAATAGCAACAATCTTGCAAAACACACTGAATAATCAGTGTCGCTTTTTATAACTTAACAGGTGGCGTCGCCGTGCCATTTCAGTAAATCCTACCAAACAGCATTAAACTATCACAAATTAGCACACTGGAGACATTATTTATGAAAAGTGGAGAAGCAGTGACCTAAAAAAGCATTTCTTTTCATAGACAGAGGGCAGTCTTGAGCTAGCCAGCACTAGTCCGCATATGCAGCACGTGTTTCGCTTTTGCGTTACATATGAAATCAAAAAATGAGTGAATCAAATCAATCAAGCCACGATGGGTCCATGGGATCATGATTCATGCAATGAGTCATTTTCAGACCTCTCTTAAGCTCACACGCATGCTGGTCTGCATCTGAAAGAACGTGACAGTCTATACAAAGAGTTTTGGAGAGAGCACAAAATGTCTACTATCTGTGAGGTGCTACACCCTTTTTCAACAGAAGGCTTTGGGACTCTTAAAAATGCCCAGAAGAGTTTTAACACGGTTGAAAACGGTCGTGCAGAAACCCGTATATGCAAAGTTGAAAGCACACACTGTTTGCTGTCTCCCTTTTCCACGTGCATTCCTCTCTGAGCACTTCTCAGCTTTACGCCTTGTCATGTTGCTACCACGTCTTACTCCCGCAGCTCATTTTAACAGCAAACTCAGAAATAGCGAGTGTCTGCTATTTCTAAGAAAGCATTAAAATGTCATTTCTTCACTCGTATGATTTCAAGAGCATTTAAATGTGAGTGCTGCGTAAAAGCATGTGAAAAGACGGGTTAGCAGCACAGCAGGTCGTTCCTTTAGGATCCATAGCAAACAGCAGATTTCAAGATTCACCTCTGAGACTTAAAGCATGACACTGCAAGGATGATACGGCAGGGAAATATGCATCATTTTTGAAGGTTATCGGAGCATAGAGTTGTAGAAGAAAAAGAAGAAGAAACACCATGTGCTTGTCTGTGTCTAGACATGTTTCTGTAAAACTTTAAAACCTCTTAATGAAAAAACGAATGTGAAACCGTCTAGTTCTCATAAAGAGGTAAGTGGTACACAGCAAGACCCTGGTAATAAATAAAATAATATTATATAATATTTTTATTTCTAATGTCTGATTCCAATTTTAATATATATGATATATATGACCCTGAACCACAAAACCAGTCATAAGTGTCAATTTTTCGAAATTGAGATGTATACATCATCTGAAAGCTGAATAAATAATCTTTCCATTGATGTCACACACACATATATATATATATATATATATATATATATATATAAGACACATGCAAAGCCCAGATTTTTGCAGTGTCAGAGAGGGATGTGAATAGGTAATGCCACACACTGAGATGATACACAAACAGACAAAATATTATTATATTATGTTTTTCCTAAAAGTCTTGGGCTTGATTTCCCGAAGGCAAGCTTAAAGACGGGTCTGCTTTTGATTCAGGATTGACAACGACATCAGAGATCAGACAGAAGAGTTTCAAGTGCCTCTAAAAAAAGTTTTAAGACAGTCTTTCTCTAAATTCCTAAAATAAACGTGTTATTCAGTATTAGTCTGAATTGCAACGCAAAATATGGAATGGTTTGCAAAATAATTAGTTTGATCTGGATTGGAAAATGTCTAAATGTAGCTATTGTGGTGCACCTTTAGATCTGCACAGTTAGTTAAGCGACTGATGAGGATTTTACAGCAGCGTGATTTATATGAACTAGGAATATTGATATTAATAAAAGTATCGCATTATGTGTATGTTGCTTAGAGTGCATATTGTTTACCAAGAGGGAAAAATACACACTGAACACAGGTGGTGACGTCCTGGTTTAATCGACGGTGGTATTATAACAGTATGGTACTGTACACAAATACAGTATATATATATATATATATATATACAGTATATGAAGAGACAGCTAAAGTCTTCCTTTGGTGTGATGCCAATCTGCCAAATTATACTGAAGTGTGTAATGCAGTAAGGTAGTGCCATGTAAGACTTTATTCATGCTAAATATAATAATACATTTTTACTTCTACAACATTTTCAGATTTTTTAGTGTTCTGAGTGCTATAAGGTTGCATAGTTTATATACGACAACACTACACGATCCCCTGTGAAAAAGTAGTGCACTTAACTGTATTGTGTGCACTTGAAGTGTATAGTGTTAATAGTATATATTGTAAATAAACTGTACTTGCAGATATAATATTAATGAAATATAAGGCAACAAAAGTGTACTCAAAGAGAATAGATTTTCACGACTAAGTTTCTCATTATATTTTAAATCATTATGTTTGAATAATCTTTTGTGGTGCTTTACAGAAGATGTGTTCACTAACATGTAAAGTACTTGATTAGCATTTTTACTGTAGTCTGTTATTTAGTATTACATTTCAATTTAATAAATTTTTTAAGTACCAAATTGCATCTTCATCATTACAAATGTGTAATTACAAATCTATTTAAATAAAACTTATAACAGATGTTAAAGTATACTTTAGCTCACCATAAATTCGGCAGTACACTTTAACTATATTTCAAAGACAAACAGACGTGATTATAAAATTGCATTCAGAGATCCGACTGCAATTATCATTCAAATAAATGTCTCAAAACATGTCCAAAATTATATACAAGTATATACTTTTTTGAAAGTATGCTAAAGTTGACTTCTTTTTCACAAAGGTATCCTTTGAGAAAGAGAACTGGCAAAATGTGCTGGCAAAAGATCAAAAACTAAGGATTTATATTTTGCATAAAGAAAAAAAGCATATTTTAGGACCACAATCATTTTTAAGTATTATGCCATTATTTTCATGACAATTAAGCGCATCCCCACACCCCCCTCACCCCCAAATTCTCATTACTGTAATGCATCTATTTTACTTTTGAGATTATACATAATTCTCATTACTTTCAATGATGATTTTCATTATATTCTCATTACTGTAATAAACAGTGTGAGGCGGAGTGTGTGCACAGCTCTGTGATAATGCTGCCTGTGATTGCTGGTCTAGAATCAGTTTTTCCTCCACAACACACATTCCAGCCAATCAGAATCGAGAATTCAGACAGAACATGGTCAATTGAAATAAATAAATATATATATATATATATACATCATAATGTCAAATACATTATACGTTTTTTTCCCCATTAGTGACAATGAGATTTTTTCTCAATTTGAAGGGAAATGTGCTCAACTGTAAATAAATGTAAAAATGTCACAATGTAAAAAAAACAAAATTGGTTTTAAAATGGAAGATTTTGATTTGAAATATGACCTGGGCCTGTCATTGACAGATTTGATGAGATTCAACCAAATACAGGCGAGTCTATATATGTGTCCATTTAACACACAAAGTATATGTGACCCTGGAGCACAAAACCAGTCATAAGGGTCAATTTTCCGAAATTGAGATTTATGCATCATCTGAAAGCTGAATAAATAATATTTCCATTGATGTATGGTTTGTTAGGATAGGACAATATTTGGTCGAGATACAACTATTTGAAAATCTGGAATCTGAGGGTGCAAAAAAATCTAAATATTGAGAAAATCATCTTTAAAGTTGTCCAAATGAAGTTCTTAGCAATGCATATTACTAATCAAAAATTAAGTTTTGATATATTTACGGTAGGAAATTTACAAAATATCTTCATGGAACATGATCTTTACTTAATATCCTAATGATTTTTGGCATAATTTTGACCCATACAATGTATTTTTGGCTATTGCTACAAATATCCCCGTGCAACTTAAGACTGGTTTTGTGCTCCAGGGTCACATATGGTGCAAACAGATGCGTTTCTCTTCTGTAGGTTGTGGTGTATTTATTATTATTATTATTATTATCTCAGAAAGAAGGAAAGAGAAAGGGAGAGGGTGTTCAAGTGACTGTTAACACTGTTTTTCAAATGTACATAACAAATTTAAAATAAAACATTCAAGTCTCCCAGTCATTGACTTTTACTACAATTATGTAATTTACAATCCAATGTTGTTAAAAATTATTTAGATAAACCAAAATCAAAAAATGGGGCATTTATACCTATAAGCGTCAGCGGGTCAAATTTACCCACCTATATAATGCATGTATTTTCG